TTCCTGTTTTGTTTTTGTGATTTTTGCCTTTGCAGACAGGGTCTATCTATGCAGCTCCGGCTGGCCTTGAACTCACTTTGTAATCCAGGCTGGCCTGGAACTCTCAACAATCATCCTGCCTCAGCCTCCTCTCCTTGGCCTCACTGAGCCCCTCCTTCTCGCACTTTCTGCCTGGCTCCTGAGTCCTCTTTCAGGAGCAGCTTCCCTTCGCTGTCCCGGCTGGCTGTCTGGGTGTCTTGCATCCATTCCAAATGTTGATCTTCCTAGTCTTTCTGGCTTGGGGAAGAGCCGGAAGTTGTCCCGTGCCAGGCCCAGTGAACAAGGTGGGTGAGGACACAGCAAGGCAGCTACAACAGTGCAGCTGCAGACAGACCCTCCTGAAAGGGAACTTGGAAATGCTGCAGAAAGAGCTGAGATCAGGGGCGGAAAGTGTTTAGAAGGGAGAACGCTTATTCTCAGGGGGCTGTGTGGTAATCTATCTTTTATTGTAATCATTTTTTAAAACTTAGATATTAATCATAGTTTTTATCATATGGCAGGACTGGCCAAATAGCTCAGCAGATTAAAGCGCCTGCATGTAGGCGCAGTGGTGGTGGGGTATTCATCCCTGGGCCTGCAGTGCTGGCCCGCCCCCGGCCCTGGCCCCGCCCTCAGCCCCCAGGGCTCGCTGAGATTGGAGATTGAGACTGGGCATGTTGGCTTGATTGTGCCTGTAATCCCAGCACTTGGGAGGCTTTAAACAGGAGAATCACTAGGAGTCTGATCTAGTAGTGAGACCCTGAGCACCCTGTAGACCCTTCTCTAAAATACAGAAGAAGAAGAAGGAGAAGGAGAAGGAGAAGGAGAAGGAGAAGGAGAAGAAGATTATTATTGCATATGTGGCCCCCACATTTTGGGGCCATCAGCCACTTCCTAAAGGTGACAGTTCATTATCCTACTGAGAAAAGTCACAGCCATCTCCCTTGAGAATGCTTTTTGTGGCCGGCGTGAGGACTCCGTGGACAGAGGACACAGTGCTGCCCACCATCCCCGCCAACCACCCTCCTACTCCAGCACCAGCTCAGGGAGGCTGTGAAGGTGCTGGCTTGCCTGGCCATGGGGGCAGGGAGCCCAGATGAAGCTAAGGGTGGATGTGTGGACAGGACAGCCACAGCACTCAGGAGGCAGAGGCAGAGGATGGCCACAAGTTTGAGGCCAGCTTGGGCAACATAGTGAGTTCAAGACAAGCCTGCACTCTATAGAGAGACCCTGACCCACATAAGAATAACAACAACAACAATAAATACAGTGTTTGAAGAACAATGGAAAAAACCAAGTGTGTGTTGGAAGCAGATGGGCTGAGGGGAGAGCTGGAGAGCAAGTGGGGAGATGAAATCAAACCCGGGTCTCTCA